TGCTTGTCTTAAAATTTTCTAATAAATTACATCTTGCTTTAGCCATGCAGTTAGTAATTCTTGTTCCAGTTTCATGTTACGCAATTGACATGCTCTGGCAATTGTTCATCTTTCATGCACCCAATGCACATAGATAGTAAACCATAAATTCAAGTAAAGTTCTTTTTGTTTTTCTGCCTATAAACAGCACATGCAAATCTAAACAGTGGCGCTTAAATTCCATTACTAGATTTACTAAGCAGTTGTGGTAGAAGCACAGCTGGTCAAAATGTTGGAACAGTAGGCACTGGCATTATAATGGCATTGAACAGATGAGCAACATTTAGTAAATTCCTGACGTACATTCGTAGATACAAACCACTAGATTATGAGAAAACAGTTCTGCACAATTTTACTTTCTGTTTTCACAAGGAGCAACCAGATGCCAAATCTGGATATCCTGGAACTGGTAGTGTTCTAATGGTGAGTTCACAGGTGATTATTAGGTCTTATGTTTGATGAAATTCAGCAAGGATGTTTCTTTTTGGTATTTCTCCTTAACTTTTCTGCTATAGCTGTGCTTATTCTTCAGGCGACGCACTTAGATATGTTAGCTATTAGTACCTAAGAAAAGAGGTCCAGATAATAAAAAAAAAAAAAAATTAAATGAAGACTGTCAACCATGTTAAGGTTCAGCTATTACCTTCCAATGTTGAAGTGTGGAAAAACATTTCTATTTCTTCAAACAATCTTTTGTTCCCAGAATTGGTGTCTGAAGATGACTGCGACATGATCAAGTGAATGAGACTCACAAACTTCACCCAGATCATCAGACCGGGAGACAATCTTCTGAACATGCTTGTCTGTGATACGTTCTTTACTGTTGTGTACTTGCGTTTTCTGCATGCCTACAACATGAAAAAGAACATGATTATAGTATATGGTCATCGACTCTCGACCAGCAAGAGAAATATACTTGAAACCATTTATTGGACAATAATGATTATTGTTGTTTATATTTATCAACAAACATACTTTTGTTTCATTTTCATTCTAGCATGGAGTGAACCCAACTATTGTGATAAGCAAAAGAAAAGAGAACAGAAAGTGCAAAATAATTAATGTTACCTGGAGCACATGATTAAGACTGGCTATATGCTCTGCCTTCAACAATCCAGAGTTGAGGAGAGATCGAAATAAAAGCACCATCTCAGGGTTGACATCCATCACTTTTAAGATTTTCAATTATACCAGATACGGAAAGGTCATCAAACATGGTTCTCACCCACCCGGGTATTTTCTGAAGTTTTATCGATGCACGAGTTAGATGAACAGCTGGTTGTTATGACTAATGAATGATTTTGATGCTAAGCATGGAACTGTATCATTATATATAGATACGTAAATTTATAATTAGATTTAATAAAATAGAGTCTTCATCAATTTTTTTTAACTAGGTGATTGGTCACTTAAAGAATTTATCATCTTAAGAAGCTCCTAAGCATGACTATGGGTCCCTAAAAGAATAGATTCGATCTACTAATCAAAACAAAATTTGAGAATTCAACAAAATTCGAGAATTCAATTGCATGTGGGAAATGTTATAGCATCCCCACATGTCCATCCTTACTAACCAAAATAAGATTCGAGAATTCGATTACACATGAGAAATGTTATAGCACCCTCATATGCCCATCTAAAGGATGTTACCATATTATTTTAAATTCATCATAGGATCTTGATTCTAATGGTTTCAAATTTTTATATTGAAATATTGAAAATAATTCTTAAGATTCTTCTATCAATCTTGTAGAATTCTCAAAAATATTCTCTCACCTCAAGAGTATTTAAAGATCCTATTTGTTTTCTTGAAGTGGTTTCATTGTCGAAAAAATGTTTAGTTATTATTCTTTTTTTTGTCAAAAATATATTTAATTATTCCATCATTTGGGTCAAATTAAAAATTTTTTAAAAAATTTTTGCATTATCCACCATTTGGACCTATTTAAAAAAAATTTATTTATTTTTTTCGAAAAGAAAATAATATGACAATTATTTTTCTTAAATTTTCGTTTAAATTATTTTACTATTTTGGATAAATTTAAAGAAAATTTCTCACCTAGAGATTTCTTAAAAATTTACCATTTAAAATTTCTAAAAATCTTATCCTTAAATAATTATCAAATATTTTCAGCCAAAATTTTATTTTTTATTTTTTATATTTTTTTGTTTGAAAATAAATATTAATTATTGTTATTGAAACTTTATCTAAATTATTCTACAATTTGGGACAAATTTAGAAAAAAATTTCTCACCTAAAAAATTTATAGAAATTTATCATTTAAAATTTCTGTAAATTCTATCATTGGATAATTAATATTTATTCTCAAATTTTATTTTATATTTTTTTACTTTTATTTTTATTAAATTAAATTATGCAAAAATACTAAAGGAAAAAAAACAAACATAAAAATAAATTTAAAAAATACAAAAAAAAAAGACGAAACGGCTCGGTTGGGAATTCGACGCGGACTTCAGACACAGAAAACAGCTCGACGCTCGACTCAGGAGCTCGGTTCGGCTAGGTTGGGACGGGGGTTGACGAAACGAGTTATACTCAGGTCGGATTACCCGAATAAAAACACACGGATCCTAAAATTTTCTTAAGGCGAAAACGACACATTGTATAAAAGGCAGCTCACAACCTTTTTCCTCAAATTTCACCTACCCCTCTTTTCCCCTTTATTTCCTCTCATTTCTTTTTAACCCGGTTGAATCTCCGGTTGAATATCAATCGGATTCTGAAAAATACCATCAGACGGTCGTCGAAAAATTCAAACTTCGTCGAATCTTCATCGAATTTTAAAAATTATTGTCGAAAAACTCAACTAATGTCGAAAAAGTGGCCAAAAAATTCAATTGGCACCAAAAAATTCATTGTAAACTGGAAATTTTTGTCAGAATCCGAAAATTTTTTAGATTTTTTTAGCAAAATTCTTTTTTTTCCCCTAAACCCAAAAATCTTTGAAAAATTTTTTGATTGTTTTCTACTTGTGATTTTTTAATTTTTGTTTCTGTGTTTTTTTTTTGTATCCAAGGCTTTATTTATAAGATTCAAATTCGAGAACCTTAAACCAATTGGGATTTCAATCCCCTTTAAACTCAATCTCTAATTCTAAATTTATCACAACCTTAATAACCCAAAAAAAAAAAAAAAACCCTAAGCAAATCCAACCACTTAATTTTTCATTTTTTTTAATTGTTTTAATTTTTCATTTTTTTTAATTGTTTTAATTTTTCATTTTTTAATTAATAAAAATAAACACTTTGGACAAATCGGAGTGTCTACAAACTGCCATACACAGCCATTTCCTCCACAATTAGTCTGTACAGGTTACTTTTCGCAACTCCTGATTCCTGCATGTCCAGCTCTTCTCACCCTAAAATTACAGATAAGCAGAGGCAACAGTTCATTGCCACCATAATATCATAGTTAAACACCCAACCTTCTAATACAGTCATTATGGACATTAGGTAACCCATGAAGAATTGTAACTCCTCATGTTTCTTTTTTTTCTGTTATGATATTCCTGAAAGAAACTCCAGAAGGCAAGTTGAAGCCACAAGCTTGACCATTGGAGACCCGAAATGTATCATCCTGCACAAATCATGACAGTGAATGTTGATTGTAGAAACTGGTGGTATCATATTTGGTGATATGAGGAAACTTTGACAGTCCACAACCTCTGGTAGAACAGCATCCAAGCTGACAACTTTTAACAGACAAGTTAGTTCTCACATCATGGATTTATACAGGAGCATTATAAGAAGGTGCTTACCATCTTAAAGAAAAGTAGTATAACGAAAGCCAAAAGATCAGACTTTCCCCAGAGCTTGTTACCTCATCATACTCTATTAGAGCAGGTCCTCTTTGAAGAGACAACCTGGACTGTACTGTTGATGGTAGAGATCAAGGAAGCATTAAAAATTATGCTTTTGGAAGCCTCAATGAATGCTTGGTTGGAAGATGATGCAAAATCAAGGAACAATGACCACCAAAAGTAAACCTTCATGATTCGAACCATACTTTCTAACTGCAGGAATTAAGCAGTATATCAACTACAAAAAAGTAAAAGACCCATTAATTTCCTGAAAACATTAGTACTCATAAAGAAGAAAACTGACATGGTAACCCCGTAAGAGTCAGATCGAGCGGCCCTGTGGCGTCGGGAGGGAGAGGGTGGCCCGGTGGCCTTGCGAGCATTGGATAACAGCTTGTTCTTGATCGAGAGAGGAGACGTCCGGTTCTTGCGAATCTTCGAATAACATTTTCGTAGAGAAAGCAGATGGTTTTGAATTTTAGCGGCAGTGGGGCTTTTTCTTCGTTTTTCATATTCCAAATTATTTTTTTCTTATCTTTCCAATTACTTGTTAATTGTTTGTTCGCTCCTCCTTCTAACATTGTTTCTTCTCTTTTCAGTCTATCAAATTTTATACATTCTTTCAATTCAAATATATAAGATAAAACATAAAAATATTACATTAACAATCACAATTTCGTACTTTAATTCATTATCAAACATTTATTTTACACAAAAATTATAATATCACCAAAAATAGTTTTTTTTAATTCATATAGAATTTTTATTAAAAATTTTTAATAAAATTTTAAATCATATCTTTTATTTTTATTAAATTCTTATTAATTTTGTAAAATGTTTTTATTAAAATTTTAAATCATCTTTTTTAAAATATATGAAACATGATCTATCTAAAATTACCAAATCTGTTAAGAAAGCCATTATTTAAGCAGGTTCATTTCCATTAGCAGGTATAAAATGATGATAAACTATAAAAACTTGCATAAAATTTGCAAAAGAACTAAAGGAAAATAAAATAAATAAAAATAGAAGCACCATGATCAAACAAAATTCCTGATTCCATCAGCTTCTGGCTTACCAAGCCAGGAAAGAAAAAGGGAAGAATGAAGTTTGGAACGGAGGATGTCAAACTCACACGAGTAAATAAATAAATAAAACCAAGTCAAATAAATTACTAGAATACTTTGAATTTTGAACAAAACAAAATGACCCATGTTCATTTAACTTCTCAACCTATAGGAGTCTTGACCCCCCCAACGAGTATACATGAACTGAAACTCAGTACACAAACACATTCACTGTGACCTGATTCAATACAAGATGATAAAAAAAATTTTTAAAAATTCTATCAAAATATATTCCTCTAATTGTCCCCGCTACTGAAACAGGGATCCTCAAACATACATTCTTATCCTACCTTCCTTTCCCCCTGTAAATCTAAAAACTCAACTAACCTCTTTGTTGCATTGCATCTCTTCTTTGTTCAAGGAAAGCCAATACCTCCCTCCCTCCCTCCCTCGCCGACACCCCCGAAAATAATGAAAATGATATGTGCTATCCTTACTTTTCAAATATTGTGGGGATACCCGACCTCTCATTTGTAAAATTGATGGAGAGAAAGGAAAAGAACCGAATGGAACAGAGAGGACATAAGACAGGATATAGAACTCACACTGAGGGAATTTCCCATACCTAAAAACCCATGTCTTTCAACCATTTTCTACAATCAAGATTGCACAGCCAACCTCTGAAGATGCTCAAAGAAGACTTGTAAGCTTACATCATCCGTGAAGATTACATCTGATCCAGCAGCTATATCGGTGGAATTATTGTATGTTGCTGATGGGTTCAACTTTGCCAATAAAAATCTTGCCTGCACAAGGATAACAAAATAAGCCCCTTGGTAATGGTAAAAAAACCAATTTAAGGGTACCGAATACCAAGTTCAGCCTCTAAGGTAAAATACTGAATTGGCTATGGGAAGTATAAAAAAAAGGGGATGCGGAAGGAGGGCATTCAACTGCGAATATTAGAAACTTTGGCTCAGCAGACCAAGTCAGAAGGTCATTCATGGATCCAAAGAGGCAAAGCCACAACCATGACAACTCTTTTTTTTTTTTTTCATGCATTCGAGGAATTCGGCAAGGTTCAATTCAGCCAAACCCATTAAACTTAAGGGCTGACCACAACCATTACATCGTGAATGAGGGCTTCACAACATGGAACACTGATATTCCTAGAAAACAGTGCATAGGAAAAACATGCAACCACATAATACTGCTAAATCGTAAATGATTTTCCCCAAGTGCCTCTTAAGTTTATGTAAAAAAGGTGAAACTCATACTAAGGGACAAGGATAGCTCAAGACAGCCTTGATTTTAAAAATCATTATTTGATAACATTTAGGAATAAATTCACATGATGATATTCCAAACTTATGAACACAATCCATAGGCCAAAAAAAAAGAACTAAAACAGTTAGTAAGTTCCCTAATCTACTGCTTACCTGTTCAAGTTCACAATAAATATTTGAATAATGGAATAAGGAAATATTAAGATAAACATTTGCTGATACCCAAATGCAACATCAAACTAAAGTGGAAAGGTAGAGATGAAAATAAAACTAGATGAACAGAAGAATATAGTGATCATATCATAGCGGGGAAAAAATTTTATCAAAGCTAAACCCCTGGAAGGTACTATGAACCAGAAATGCTGATTAATCAAGCTAAATTGATGAAACAATAAAAAATTTGTGATTGCTACCTTAACTAATATTTATCTTCTGAGAATTTGTCACAAAGAGTTCAAAGCAAAGGCAAACCAGTTTGCACCCTAGGTTTAACAATTATTAAAAAAAAAAAAGGGTGTCTTTAAAAGTGTACTCAATTTGAGCACATTTAATAAGTGTACTCAATTTTCTGAAAGATAGTGTTGGAAATTTTATGAATAATTCAGTATGAAGCAAAACTCCGTATAGCATATACAATACGTAAAAATGATATAATTCACAAGGGTAAATCTAGGACACATTTTTATATTTCCAAAAACTATAAAAAAGAAAGTGCTGATGAAATATACCGACCTGGGATCCATGTTGATCACATACAACCAATCTAGGGACAGGGAAGCGTTCCCGAATAATCATTTGGGAATCAGCCTGGGGTGCTTGCAAAAGCTGTGCAAACGCCTGTTAAAACAAACAAGTTTTAGACAACAAAATAATAGACCGTAAACATAGAAATTGGGTAGTAAACACTGGAACTTAAGTGGTGTTATAACTTCATTGAAGAACCAGCAAATTCCCAACAATCTAATATAATATTGCAATTTGAAGCTCAACATATAAAGGAGATTGCAAAAGAAACATGCCATTACCGTATCCCAGGAAAAAGGCCCCCATGTTCTTCTACAAGACAAATTTTAACTCTTCCAAATAACAGAAGTGGGAAAAGTAAAAAAGCACATCTCGTAGAAGAAATTAATAGTTCAAAGCCAGATAATAGGTTATAAGCTACCAAATGAGGTTGTAGAAAGTCAGTAGCAAATACAAAAATGATCATGGAAGTTTTTAAGTCAATCTAAGGCTTTTAGAAGAATAAGGAGACAGATTAAACCAGGCTATATAAAGCACACTGCCCAGTGAAATAGCACTATCTTACTGGCATCCCCTCCTATAGTTTAGAGTACAAAACTATAAAACAAACATAAAATGAGCAATTCTTTAGCTAAAAAATGAGGCATTATAAAGTATGCATAAAACACTTCATTAATCATATAAACTGGTTCAATATGTGATGCCAGGAGTCATTTCAACAAGCACAACTATGCACCAGACGACTCCTAGAAAGCATACTTTATTTTAGAATAAAAAAATCAAAATCTTCTAAATTACATAGTCAGAGATGTAGCAGATCATATTTCATTTTGAGAGCTGCACGGTGGTGGTACCAAGGGTTTACTTCTGTCAGTAGTTTAGGATAAAATTCTCACAAGAATCAGTAAAATCAAAATAAGAATAATAAAGCATTCTTTCAGGCTTAAAGAGACCTCAAAATCAGTACTACTACAGCTTCAGTTGATCCCAAAGTGATCAAAGTTATTATCTTAATGAAACAGGATGCCCCAAAATCAGTACTACTACAGCTTCAGTTGATCCCAAAGTGATCAAAGTTATTATCTTAATGAAACGGGATGCCCAACATCGGGCATGTTTATTGAAAGTCACTTTTGCACATTATGAATGTAATGTTTCTAAATAAATCTTTACATTAAGCTCTAGATTAAGGTAGTACGAACAAAATGAGAATACCTGATGTTCAGGCTGATGCTGATAACCCATGTTGCGCCACTGCGCTATTGTCATACCATGGAAAACAACAATACTGAAATATGAATCCAGCAAGAGAATACGATCAGCTGAAATGGAAGCCACGTCCAATAATGCTGGTTGGGGCAGTGAGTTGAATGAATATGATATTAATGATGGTTGAATCATAACAGCAGCATTCGTAATGTTTTCCCTGTTTAATAACATGCGAAAATAGGCAGTCTCATCTGGACTGTTGTTAAAAACCTGCCACAGAAAAGGACAGAAAGAAAGCCCAAATATAAGCGTAGGTCAATTAGATATTATAAGAAAGGCAGGAAATTAGAAAAAAGAAACAGTTACCTGTACAAATTGTGACCGCCGCAGATTAAACATAAACTGAGGAAACAAAGAAAAACAAGAGTTTAATGTAAATGATGATGGATCATCCTTCCGATAGTCGCCAAATCTGGAACAAAGTCGTATGAGATTCCGATCTAACCACCGTGTAGCATCAAACCCCTCCTAAATTAAAGAAAAAAAAGGTAATTAGGAAAGGGTTAAGCAATTAATAAACAAGTGATTAGAAGCAACATATAAACATCTTATTATGATTGCAAAGAGCCAACAAAAAATATACAGAAAATATAGTAAGAAGGGAAGGTCATGTCTAGGAGGAAAGCAAGTAGAGAGAACTGCTAAACACTAGGGTACAGGGTTAAGAGAGAAAGTTCTTATCCATATTCTATAACATGAAAACAGAATAAGAGTGGAAATGATTCGTTAACAATAGCATAATGAACTAAGCAGCAGGTATCAACTAAATATATTATAGGTTGACAGTGGATATGTTCAAACAAGAAATATGGTAAATGGTAGACAATTGAATAGAAAACTTTTTAAATTACCTCTATCTCCATTTTCAGAGAAGCTATTCTTGCCATTACAACAGCCGCAGTTTCTTGATCAAAACTTTGTACTAATTCCTAGAAAGGAGATATTATTCACAGTTAGCATAAATTATTTCCAACAAATTCTCCAACAAACATGATTATCATATATGACTATTACAGTATCCAGACCAAGACACAATGGCAGTGATATTTATACACATCAGCTGACCTACCAATGTCCAAATTCAACATTCCCTACCCCCCGCCCACCCACACACACACATAAAAAAAGCCCCTTTCAATATGACCAAACAGGACATATCTAACAAAACACAAAATGGGATGAAATGGCAGAAATGAAAATTTTACACTTACCTGTTATTTAGACAGCTTTAACAACCAAAAGTACAAAAATGAGAGAATCTAAACTAACCTCTGCACTAACAGCACTGTCTACCCATCGTCTTGTCACAGTCGTAACTCGAAGCATTGTTTTACCTTCAGGGTCTTGATAACTGCAATTAGATAAACATGACAATGAAATTACTAAACCAACAAAATGAAATTACTCAACCAACAAAGTAAAAAAGAAACAATCAAACATATTTAATTCTAAGGAAAATAAAGAGAACCCTTTTGAGTAGTTCAGGCAACAGACCTTGTAAGAAACTGCAAATAGAGCTGTGGATTTGCGGTTCCTGGAACATTTGATCGCTCAGTTGATGTAAGATCAAATAAAACCGTCAAACACGTACTCTTGTCAAGGCCACACATCTTCCATGCTGTAGTGTTCCCCTCCCCAATGATGGTGTCAGCGACATTAGGTCCTTTCTGCAACACTCATAGTAATCAGATCAAATCCCCATAAATAGAAGTAAATTCAGTCTACTGTTTAGACTTTGTGTCTGTTTCGAGAGAAAGTGCGAAATGTTATGAAATTGTTAAATGGCCCAACCTTCTCTAAAGATGTGCAAGGTCCAATGACCCCCTGAATTTTGATGTCTTTTGAACAGTTGATCTCAAGCATGCCACTAGAAGGAAAAAAACAAGGAGCTTATAATGAGTTTCAAATTTATACTATAGCTCAAATAGTTGATATTCCTGGGTGCTCCAAACCATGCCATAACGATTCATAAGTAGTGATAACACACACAGATACAAAAACTTAAGCTAAAGCAGGACCAAATAAATTAATATCATGGGCACCCATTTGATGCAGAGAGTTCATTTATCACAATCAGCAATAAATAAAATCAGGAATTTAACAGAAATGAACGATAACACGCTCACCGCCACATGGTAATACTTACACTACTTTCAATGATGCAAGCAACTACATTTGCAAAATTTAGAAAAACCTATGAAGCCAATAGAGTAATGCCAATTGGCCAAAAAAAAAAAATAGAGTAATGCCAACACAGAATACGAGTGTAACAGTGTTTAATCATTTTCACAAATGCTACTTTGTGCAATTTGATAAATTTGTGCTTCGCTTCCTGAAGAATAACAAGGTCAGCAAGCTTTTAGGTCAAAAATTTACTTTCCTAACAGCAGCATCACCTAGTCCAGGACGGTATCACAACTAAGTTAAAGGTGAAGTGGGTAGTTGGAACATCTAGAACTCAAACAAATAACACAAGGACAACAAGAACTCAAACATAAATGTAAATTGGCCACTTAAGAATGCAACTATATAGTTATTTATCAACAACCATGGATTAGAGAAGAGAAAAGTAAGTTAAAAAGTTGAAAAGGAATGAGCAGCTTTGGTGTGGTAACAAGAACTAACTTAAAACAAAGGCCAAGAGACTGTTCTCCATCCTCGAACACACGCTTGAAAGAGTCTTTAAATACAGAATGACCAAAACTTTCAGCTAGAACAACAAGGCCACCTGTTCTTTCTACTGCAACTTTCATTTCAGAAACCCCAACCTGAGAACACACAAAACCCCATTACATTATGAATATTGTTAATGTCTGAAGTTATTAGCATTCACTTAAAATAAATGATTTGCACCCACGGTAGACAGAATAACTATTAGCATCCACAGTTTTTACAACATTAAACATTTACATTACAAGCTACCAATAAAAAGAAGCATGCAAAAAGCAAGCCTTAGTTTTGCATGAAGACTGATTTATAAACAAAAAAGAACTACAGATTTTGTCGCCATCCTTTTTAAAAAGAAGTGATACAACTTCTAACAGTTTGGACAGAAGAAGGAAGCAGACACATTAGAGATATAACTCCTAACTTAAGCATATTGAAGCAATCAACGTAGATCTGGCATAGAGACTGATTTATGAACAAAAAAGGAGTTTAAATATAATTAGAGAACCTAAAAGGTGGCCAAGACAGACCTGATCAAGTGCAGATGCAAAAAGGTCTAGTACATGACCCTGGCTGACCAGCTGTTTTGCAAGACTATCATAAAATTTAACTGCTTTCTTAAAATAAGGTGCAGCATCCTTATCAAGATCTTTATGGGAACGTACAGGTTCTGACAAGTCTTTTGAAACAATCTGCAAAAATCATATAATCAGTATCATCTCGATGACAACCAAATATGTTAATAAAAATTAAAAAAGAAGCAATTCTCAAATTAAGATTATTTACTTAATCTCCCTTTTCTCAATTAAATCATTGTTGAGTACAGATTATTCCTAAAAGTACAGGGTACTTAAGAACGACACTCATCTTGCACAAAGAAACAGTAAACATTAAGGGGATGAGCTATATGAAACTATAAAGGTGACATGAAAGTTGGCCAAATCAAACAAAAACGGGCCTCCAAACATGGCCCTGTTTCATATTACAATGGGCTCCAGTTGTTGCGCTCAGACTATAAAGCCATTTTTGCTTTTGTTTGGATAGCCTGCGCATTCATCAAATAGCATCCCCAGAGAAACATGGGACAGGACCTTCTAATTATTTAAAAAAAAAAAAAATAGTTATAACCATAAAGAAAAGGAAAATGCACCAATATATTCCTGCGAATAGAACTTTTTGGATTGCAGCGAAAGAAAGGTCATTCTAATTACAACAAACCATACCCATATCAACCATGACATTATTGATTTGTAACATATATAAACTACCTTATAATTAAATAGAAAACAAATGGTAAATGCCTTACTATCAGCTATATAAATTTGGTTTGTATCATTTAACCGTGGACCACCAACATTATTCTTTTTTGGCATTTCATACAGCCAATCCCAGAATTATGTGATATCAGACTTAGTTGTTGTTGAATCATTTAACCATGGAATAAGTAAAATTTCAGAAAGCTAAACAAAGAATTTAATAGCATTACCGTGCCCGGTCCTTCAGTACATGGACCACCAACCAGTGCAATAATCCTAGCACCAGTTCCAGGCAAGCACGCCCCAAGCAATCCTGCTGCAACACTTAAGGCCACTCCGGTGCACCTGCATGCCCTGTGCCCTGCTTGTACAGGCCATTGATCCGTTTGCAACTCATCCAACAGCTACGTTAAAATCAATCAACCACTTAAATTAAAAAATATATATATCTTAAAATGAATTCCCACCACAAACAAATCAAAACGCACCGAATCGAGCGTGTATTCGCAATCAGAAGCAGGCAACAGAAAGCGGTTAATGCCCGTATTTGTGTACCCATTTTGCAGGCCTTTCGGATACCCAGCGGTTGGCCGCCGCCCAACAGCACCAAGGCCTAACTGCTCCAACACCTGCTCCTTGGAAATCTCCTTACTACCCCTGAAAACATAGACCTTCGACATATCCGAGAACCCCAATTCATGGACATGAGCCTGAGTCCCAAACGAAACGAACCCGACAAGCGCGTGTTCTGGCAACAATCCAAGAGCCTGCTTCATCGCCGATTTAACAAACCCAAGCTCTTCCTCGATCATGCACGTATCCAACACGAACACAAACACTGGTGGCAATTGAGGAGCATTGGAAGGGTTGTTTGGATCGGGATTCGGTTGGAGTGTGTATTGCACGGTGGTGAATTGCGGGTAGAGTTCGCCGGGGAGGTTCGTTTCGGAGATCATGGCATAGTGAGGCGGAAAATGGTTGCGCTGGTAACAGAACGGGCAGATCCAGATCTTGGCGGTGAAGTCAACGCGGGCAAAGGCGTTGAGAGCGGCGGAACAGGTCTTGCATCGTAGAGGAGCGTAAGGTAGGGTCGGAATATCCGGGTGTGAACGGATCGGAGCAATGGATGCGGCTAACGGAATCACACACTTACTCGCTTCGACTTTGGTGCGTGGCCAAACGTTCCACGTCATCCGTACTGCGTCTATCCCTTCGGGATCCGTGTTAGCCATTTCCGACATGGTTGAAAATTATTTGAAAAATTGAAAACAATTCTTCACTTTTTTAGGTTTTTTGGATTATATTTGATTAGTAATTTAGGAATTGAATGAAAATTTTGGTTTTTTTTTCTTTTTTGGGTTTTTTTTCCTTTTTTTTTTTCTGATTTTGGGCGACCCCCACGAGAATCCGGAGAGAAAGGGGTCACCGAGAAACAAAGAGAGAACGGAGTAGTAGTTGTTCTTGAAAAGAAATGTGAGATTTGGGCTTGAGCTAAAAAGTGGTATTTAAAGGAGATGATCTGTAATTACGGGACGTTGTGCGCTTTCCATTTCCATTATTGTGCCGACGCATTAGGATTTTTTTTTTAATTAATTTTAGTACCCAAAAGAAAAAAAAAACATCTGAATTTGTGCTTCAATATTCAATGTACAATTTTAAAAAATAAATAAATAAACAATCCTTTTAAATACTTTGAAGCAATTTTTTTTTTTTTGTAAGAAAGAAGCTAAGACTTAAGAAGAATTAAAAAAGAAAAATTTGTAAGCAAAATTTTAAATGCATGAGAATTTGTATCTTTTGAAAATAAAATTTTAAATGCATTAAAATGTGAAGATATTTATTTTTCAAAATATAATTAAGTCAAACAAAATTTGAGATATTCTTTAAAAAATCCTGTTTATTTAAGCAAAAATAAACTATCTAACATAGCATCAATGAAGTTACAAAATGATTCATAAAAAAAAAGTTCCATTTATTGTAACCATTGTTATTGAATGGTTGGGAAAATTTTGTTTAAGTTTAATATATTTTGTTCCTTTTTTTTTCATTTAAATATATCTACAAATCTACATTTAATTAAAATTAAACATAATATTATAATTTAAAATGAGATTTAAATGAAAAATTAGTTTGAATCATCTTTGATACAATTCGATTTAATTAAATTATTAATATAAATATAACTTAAGAACTCAAATAACCAAATAAAAAATTTCACTAATTTTATTTAGATGAATAAATAAATTAATTTTAATAAAATAAAAAATAATAATAATAATAAAATTAAGTATTATAATGATAAAATCAAAATTAATAATCAAAATATGTATATAAATGTAAATATAATAACAATAACAATAATAAGATTCGGCTAGCTTACCAAAAATAATTATTATGCTTATACTAAGATAATTAACTGTTCTAAACAAAGTAAAACGCTACTCTGGATCCAATTATTGGCTAGATTCTAGATTTGGCAGTGCCTAGACCTGTCCAGTGTCCACAAGATCCGGCAGACCCATGGGCCTTCTGAACATGGATTTTTAAGTTTGATTTTGTTTCAATCCAATCCAATGATCTATCTTTAAATATTTAATGATGTGATTTTATTTTTACTATTATTTTTTATTATTTAGTCTTAATTAGTGGTGTTTATGAGTTTAGTCGAACCAAACTTGAACAATTTAGGTTCCGGTCCAAGCTTGACATAGTAATTTGTTTTATTTTTTTATTTTATTAAAATTTTAAAAATTTAAAAGTAAATTTTAATAAAATATAATAATATCTTGAGGATCTTAAATTCCATGTTAAGGCCAAGCCCAAATCAAAGACGGGTAATCTGACCCGTGAAGTCACCTGTAAGGGGGAAAAGAAAAAGAAATGCTCAAAATAGGAAATCCGAAGATCTCAAACACAATGGCAAACGCTCATTTTCTTATGAAAGGACGGAGAATTCTGGAACTATCTTTAGTCTGTTAGCTTTTTGGAACTCTCTAGAGTCTCAAAGTCCGCTTTAAATTCCCATACACCCAAATCGCTTTGTATCAATCGATCTTCAAGCATTTGCCAGTGTTGTCTTCTCAGAAATCCTCAAAATCTCAAAATTTCCTCTCTCGCTAAAACCTTAATGGAAGACGACTTTGAGTTCCCAACAGCAAGCGACATGAAAGAAGACGAGATGGACATTCCAGAGGAAGACCCAGTTAGCCCGATCCTCAAAGTTGGTGACGAGAAAGAGATTGGGAAAAATGGTTTGAAGAAGAAGCTGGTTAAGGAAGGCGAAGGATGGGAAACTCCCTCCAATGGTGATGAAGTTGAAGGTAATGGGTCTTCTTCTCCTTCTTCAATGATTTGTTCATTCTTTTGTTCATTTTTTCTGGGTCATTTTGAGTTGATGGGTTTGTTGGTTTTGATTTATTGCAGTGCATTATACTGGAACTTTGCTTGATGGAACCAAGTTTGATTCCAGCCGTGATAGGGGGACTCCTTTTAAATTCAAGCTTGGCCTAGGTAAATAAATCTATTTATTTTATTTTCTTTCAGTTAAATGCAACTTCAGCTTCATTTTCTAAGGTTGTGGCCTCTTATTGCCCTTTTGATGAATTTTTTTAATCATGAAATCTAAGTTGGATGATATGTAGTATACTTCATAAATACTTGTTTTCTAGTAAATTTGCAGGCATAAATTGTATTTTTCCAATGAAATCTGTCTGAAGATGTGTATGCATTTAGATATGCTCCGACTTTTAAGATGTTTCCTGTGTCTTAACACTTGAAGGTTGTGTTTGATTGAAACCTTGTAAAATAAATTACTGTCTGGTGCGGATGCGTTTCCTTGATGTATTGATAGGTTGTTAATCCAAAAAAAAAAAAAGAAGTGAGATTTCAACGGACATTTTAGTTTATTTTGGCTGTGGAGTATCTAATCCGTAACCGCATGTACTGGATATGCTCACTTGTTTCTTTCCTTAATTATCAGGACAAGTAATCAAGGGCTGGGATGAGGGTATCAAAACAATGAAGAAGGGTGAAAATGCCATTTTCACAATTCCACCTGAGTTGGCGTATGGTGAATCTGGATCACCACCAACTATTCCTCCTAATGCAACACTTCAATTTGATGTGGAATTGCTTTCTTGGACTAGTGTCAAAGACATATGCAAAGATGGAGGAATCTTAAAGAAAATACTTGTTGAAGGGGAGAAATGGGAGAATCCGAAAGATTTGGATGAAGTATTTGGTATATTATAAGTTCATTTCTTCTTGCTGCTTAAATTATTCACAATTTTATGTGATCCTGTGCTTACAGTGGTTTTCATATGTATTCATTACAGTTAAGTATGAAGCTTGTTTGGAAGATGGTACACTGATATCAAAATCTGATGGGGTGGAGTTCACTGTAGGAGATGGTTAGTGTGATTCCTCTTTGTGATATGTTCTCACTTATCTTGAATGAACTCTGCAAGCTTAAATATGACGTTGAAATTTGTACCATGCAGGCTACTTCTGCCCTTCTTTGGCAAAGGCTGTAAAAACAATGAAGAAAGGGGAGAAAGTCCTATTGACAGTGAAGCCACAGTGTAAGTTAAATTCCTTTATGCTTTTATTGGTTTATGGCACGCTCTGAAATCTAACTGACACCTTTTTGCATATAGATGCATTTGGTGAGGATGGTAGGCCGGCAGTGGGCAGTGAAGGTCCTGTTTCCCCAAATGCTACCCTCCATATCACTCTTGAGTTGGTTTCTTGGAAGAGCGTTTCTGATGTCACAAAGGACAAGAAAGTCTTGAAGAAGATTTTGAAGGAGGGAGAGGGTTATGACCGTCCAAATGATGGAGCAGTGGTTCAAGGTAAGATGGCTTGGGATTTTACATTTCATTATAATCTGCAATTGTTTGAATGGTTTCTCAATGTATTCGTAACTCTTATTTGTACTCTTTGCTAGTGAAATTAATTGGGAAGCTGGAGGATGGGAAGATCTTTGTGAAGAAGGGTCATGATGAAGAGCCCTTTGAGTTCAAAATTGATGAAGGTAATAATAGTTATGCCATACTTATTTGGTTCTTTCTGGATATGTTTTCTTAGCTTGCCCTCTCTATAAGATCTCATGACATAGGCGTATTTAGTTTCATACTTGGTGTTCACGTGAAGTTGTTTTTAATATGGATGACACTTGTGACAGAACAAGTAATTGATGGTCTTGATAAAGCTGTGAAGACCATGAAGAAAGGAGAACATGCACTTATCACTATTCAGCCAGAATATGCATTTGGTTCATCTGAATCACAACAGGAGTTGGCTATTGTTCCTGCAAACTTAACTGTGTATTATGAGGTTGAGATGGTCTCGTTTGTGAAGGTTAGTGTATATATTCTCCTTTTTCCTCTGTCGAACGCTTTTCAGTTGCATATTGGATTTGTGCTGACCACAATTTATTAAGTTAATGATTGATTACAGGAGAAAGAATCTTGGGACATGAAAACAGAGGAAAAGATTGAAGCTGCTGGGAAGAAGAAAGAGGAAGGGAATGCATTATTCAAGGCTGGTAAATATGAGAGAGCATCTAAAAGATATGAGAAGGTAAAGTTGTGCACATGACTTTGTCATTTACACAATTCTTGAGACTGTTTTTACTTGTGATTTGACTATTTGACAACAATTCCTTTATGCAGGCTGTTAAGTTCATAGAGTACGACTCTTCTTTCAGTGATGAGGAGAAGCAGCAAACTAAGTTGTTAAAAGTAACTTGCAATCTCAACAATGCAGCTTGCAAATTGAAACTCAAAGATTACAAGGAGGCTGAGAAGCTGTGTACTAAGGTTGTAGCGTTAATGGCATATAGAGCTTGTCTTGATTAGATGTAAATGTTGATTCACTTTTGCTAACAGTTAGGCATGTGTGATTTTATAGGTATTGGAACTTGATAATAGGAATGTGAAAGCCTTATATAGGAGGGCTCAAGCATATATTCAACTTGTTGATTTGGATTTGGCTGAGGTGGATATCAAAAAGGCCATGGAGATTGACCCTGATAACAGGTATTTGTTTGGCTATATCTAAATATGGTTGCTTTTGTGATTTATTTTTACTATAGTCGGTACATCCTAACTTCTATTTACGTCTGGGCTCAATAGAGATGTATCTTGTTCACATGTTCTAGGTGAATATGCTGCAGTTGGGAAGTAGTGGCAACTTGTTTTATACTGTCAGAGTTTGAATAAAGGTTACAAATAAGGACTAGAAAACTAAAGTGGAAAGTTCATGTGGGATAAGAAATCCAGTTGCAGCATCTTTGGCATCATACTTCCATTAGTAATCCAATTGTTGTGATTGCAATGGAGATAATTTATGTTTTTGTTGACACCAGGGATGTGAAAATGGAGTACCGAGTCCTAAAGGAGAAAATCAGGGAGTACAACAAGAAGGATGCACAATTTTATGGCAACATATTTGCAAAGATGAACAAGTTAGAGCAATCCAAGGCTGCAAAACAGGAGCGGGCACCCATGGCCATTGATAGCAAGGCATGATAGCATTTGCCCCAAATCCCCCTTTCTTCTCCTCCATCCCTCCTAACTTGTTCCATCTCAATGTTATAGAAGAGTGAAGTTGGAGTGTGTTTCTTCTAAAATATATTACCATAGAATAATAGAAGGTTCGAATAGTGCTAATCACTTAGTGTAAAGGGTCATGTATGATGTTGTTCTTCTAATGCATCTAATAAAGAAATCTTGTCTCTTTGGACTCTAAGCAGGTTTGCAGATTGCTGGTTGTTCTGGTTTGCCTCTTTCTGATACTGTCCATGATCACTATCTTAATTTGGCAAAAATGGTCAGATCACCTTGCCGATCAAGTGGTTATGTGATGTTCAAAGTTTGTGATTAAATGCATTTTGTATTTGCAGCTGAAAATAACCAGATCAACTATCTTAACAACTTTGTATGAAGATGTTCAATTTAAAAGTTTGCATTTTATTAGGGTTTTGGATTTATCTATAAATGCTTGTGTTATTCTACTTTCATTTCAGCTTTTGGATGTTGAATATTTAAAGACATTGAGATTTTCTCCTTAGGTTTGGTTTTCTTTCTAAATTCTTCTGTTTCTCCCCAATTTCCTCTATTCCTCAATAATTGTTCTTGTTTATTTCCGAGTTTCTCACTGTGCTTCTATATTCAGTCTCTTCTCCCTGCTTGTCCTACTTCACAACCCTCAGTATTTCGCTGAATAATGTTCTCTTATCATCGCCTTATTGCTTCCTCTAGCCACACTTGCAACTCTATCAGCGTTGCCATTTGCTACATCGCCTTCGTTGCCGACAATGAGAGGACCTGGTCATACAATTAGAAAATTTACCGAAAGCAATATTTTTTGAAGTTTTTATGACATTGATAAAAATAAAATTTTTTTATTTGTAGCATATTTATATGAATTGTACATATAACTATATAAATATTAGAATTATCAAATTTACAATTAATGATAACGTGTCATATGGCTTCACACCTTGAGTGTAAAATCCCTAGCTTGAGGATACGGAGTCAAGATCTCTCTGACATTGGGTACCGTGAGAGAGAGCAAAGTCTTTTGTAGAAATTGCAGCAGCCTTGCGTGAGGTAGGGGTTAGGCTTTTTTCTAAAAGCGAGTTAAAATATATTCTTTTTGTTAAAAAAAAATTGTAACTATGTAATTTTTCATGATTTTTTTTTAATTTTGATCTAGTTTTATTTAAATCTATTATTGATAAAAATGTAAAAAATATTATATTAAAACTTTAATTCATTAAAATATTTAAAATAATAAATAAAATTTGAACCAAAGTAGTAGCTTAAAAAGAACATTGGGCGGATTTGGATATGTCCGGCGCGATACAAGTCTCTAATGGAGTGGACCCTTTGCCCGACAGATTTTTCAACCCTTCACACGCATTTACATTCCCGTTTACGATATTTCGACACGTGTCCTTACAAAACGGCGTTGCTTTTACCCAAAAAAACTGGACAGCGACAATTCAACTTTAAATCGCCTACGGTATCTACTATTTCTACGTTCATGAAATGGCTTCTTGACGTTTTAAGGTCTGACCAATCGCTTTTGTTAACAGAAGCAAAGAGAGATAAAAGCGGGGGTTTCTCCCAGGGTTTTCCCGAGAAAAAAAAAATCAAAAATTTTCCTCCGTCATTCTTTACCATTCCTAGAAAAAATAGGTTTTCTTGAGATCCAAGCAGGAAAAAATGCTCTCCGTGCAGACTGATCCTCGGTTGCAACAGTACCATCATAACCAACAGCTTCAACAACAACAGCAACAGGTTCAATTGGTTCCATACAACGATGTCTCACTGAGTCTACCCTCGAATTTTGGAGGCGCCGTTGCTGTTGCTGCTTCTTCTTCTTCTGTTTTGTCTAATTTTCCGCTCTCTCAGGGTTTAGATTCCCATGAAGGTTTGTTTTATATTTTCCAATTTTTTCATGCCTTTAATTTTGGAATTTGTTAATTGTTTTTCAGCTCTAGGGTTTGACTGCGCTTGTAGATTTAAATAAAAAGCTAGACTGATATATTTACATAATTGTGACTTTGCTAAATTTTCCCTTAAAAGAAGCTTCTGGAAGAAGAAAAAATAATTTTGTCAAGCCAGAGTGTTAAGCTTAGGGATTTCGAGTGTGTTCTCCGGTTTTAGGCGTTTTATTTTTACCTAATTTTAAGTCTTTTGACTTTTGAAAGGAAAACATGTATTTGGAGATAAAAAAATAATAGTAGTAATAATTGTTGTAACTTGTAACTTTAAAATTTGAGAATCGGAAAATTAAAATTTTAGATGTTATGGGTCTTAATTAGTCTGCTTTTCCTTGAAAATTATTTTATTCTATGATTGGTGAACAGTCAGCTATCATTCAGATATATGTACGTAGATATTTAACTTTGTTTAAGTTCTGTTATAGCAATTGTTGAAGAATCCACTTACGGCTGGTATGGTCTTTTGAAATTAGAAATTTGTAAGACCTAATCTTGAAATTACCTCCTGAGTTAAACATGCAGTCTACTACTGCTGAAAAAATGTCAATTTAAATGGGTTGCATATATATTCAGCTATTGTTGTCAAGGATTGTGCTTAGGTGCTAAGGCCAAGGTCGTTAATACTGTCCCGGGCAATGTTTCGGTTTTCTTTAAAAATGTGATATATGCTAGTACCAGTTATTTTGACATATTATTTTGGATTTTTCAGTTTAGTATAAATATATTTATAAATATACATGAACTTGTATATTATAATCCTATTAATAATTTACAAAATAAATATGCGATATCATCAAAAATCAAATAAATAAGTTTAAAAGTATAAGAAATAATATTATAAAATTTTCATTATATTTTTAAACATTCAATCTGATCATATGATGTTTAAATAAGTATTTTTTATGTAATATTAAGATAAAAATAAAGAGATGAAAAAAATTAACTTTAGTTTCATGATTGTTAAACTTTAGAAAGAGAGCATAATTGCTTTCTTGAAAGAAATTGAAATTCTTATGAATGTTTGTTTGAAAAAGTAAAGCATTAAAGAAAACTAGTTATGATAAAAAATAGAGAAACTCAACTTTTAAGAGTTATTTTATCAATTAATTTTATTTTTATTAGGTTAAAAATAATCAAACAACAAAAGACAAATTAAAAATTACAAAACATGTTTTACATTCACGTATCAGTTGAAATACGCCAATTCATTGAAACCAATGAAAACAATCGGTATTGCCTAGTATCAAATCCGGTATGAAAAATTATCTTTAAGTGTATCGTGTTTTGGTATAGTTGGAACGTATTGACTGGTATGACCGGTACCGAAACAAAATCAACAACTATGACTAAGGCACAGTGCAAATCATGTAGTGCGTTGACCCCTTCAGGTGAGGCACTTTTTGTCAGGCACACACCATTTGTGGATAGATGCACTTTTTTTAAGGTAATGCCGACAGAAAGCGTGCCTGGCTTAAATTTACTTTTGGTTTCTTTAGGCTTAAATTTCTCTTATCAGCATTTATTTTAATTGTCAAACAAGGATAATAGTATATCCCTTTACAAGAATATGACATCGGGTAATATAGTCCATACACAATTTTTTCTTGGAGATTGAAGTGAAGGATGCATTGATCTTTGGTTGTTGATGACTTCTAGTTTATTTATGATATTGATCTTTGGAACACATTAAGAAATGGAATAAAGTGAATTCTTTAACGTTTAATTAACGAACTCATAAATTTTAAGCTTATTAAATACAATACATAGAAGCTTCTTTGCCTTCACTTTCATTATTAATTAGTATCTTTCCAAAATAAGTGCTGTACTTCACTTGGGAAAGTGTATTTTATTTGTACTTTGTGCCTTAAGCGATGGAAGGGTTCTAGTGCAGGGAGTGCACCTTGCCCTTTGACAAAATTGGATTATGCTTGAGTATGTCGCAACTGTGATCTTCATGTCTACCTGAAGACCTTGTTAATATTTCATACTTGTTTGTCTTTTCATTTTTCTTTACCGCCCATTTTTGGGTGAAGTGTAATTGACATAGAGGTCTTTATTTTGATAAATGCTGAAGGCATCTACTTTTATGTGTTTTAGTTGATGATGACACGCTCATGGCACTTGCTCATCAAAAGTACAAGGCTGGAAACTACAAACATGCATTAGAACACAGCAGTGCTGTCTATGAGAGGAATCCACATCGTACTGATAATCTTCTTCTGCTGGGTGCAATTCATTATCAGGTTGTTTCATATGTTTTGCTTGATTATTGTCATATACCGTTTGTTTTTATCATCACAAAGTTTACTACTTCATAAGATTTATTGTCATTACTGGTTGATTCATTAAATTGTATTTTGCTGGTAATTTATGTAACTATTAACTCTATGCCCTTGTCCTTTCAAAAGAAAAAAAAAAAAAAAGAACTCTGCACCCTTGTTCTGAAATTTTCTGATGTTATTTCTTTATCACAAACGGTTTCCTTTTTAATTTCTAGATGAAATTGTAAATGCTTCATGTGGTTATGGAGGAGCTTTAAATGCCTCTGACAGTGGACACTTTGTTTGACCTCAGTTGCATAATTATGATCAATGCATTGCGAAGAACGAAGAAGCTCTTAGAATTGATCCACACTTTGCAGAGTGCTATGGAAATATGGCCAATGCTTGGAAGGTACCGTTCGAGTGCCTTTGGTTGTAGCTGCTTTTCGATTTGTTGTCCTTTGCAGGTGGTATATGCATTAATAATGTTTTCTGCTGCAGGAGAAAGCCAATATTGATACTGCAATCCGGTATTATTTGTTTGCTATTGAGGTTAGTATACAGTGGTTAATGTGTTTGTTTTGGTCCTCCCATCATGCTTTCATTTTCTTTTTCTTATCTGAAGCAATAATGAAATAATAATTTAATATTAAAAATCTTATTTCTTTTTCTTATTTATTTTTATTTTAATGTTGGTGCTGTCTTTTGTTAGTTGCACTTTGGATTTATCCTTTCCTGAGCTTTGATAACAAAATAGTGTGGTAACTGGAATTTACCATATCGTGGTAAGAGAAACTAGTATGCTTTAGAACCTTAATATTATTATACCAGGAGCAAGAGAATATTTTAAACTTTCTTTGGGGATTTCATCATGGCAAAACAATCTATCTACCAGTTCATGTATTTATTTGCATTTATGCATACATTTTGGAGATCCCTGGGGGAAGCGGGTGAATAGATACTTTTATTGATTTATTATGTGGCCCAGAGTTGCAAAATACCATTCTTTAGCTTGTGATGCTAGCTGGCTTGGGAGGCAATTCATCTGACTGCCTTTTTCATGCTGGGCATAAAATGAGACCAACTTGGGTAGCCTTTCTTGTGTCCAAGTTCAATTTTGGTCAGTGTTTTAAAAAATTTTTAGGCAATGATCTTTTGGTTTGGGGAACCAAGACAATCTCATCTTAAGTTTGCATACATATATGAAAGTTCATTTTCAAA